GTTTTGAATTTGTCCTCCCTTTGTGTAACTTTGTATTATATACTAGTTGTACCTGATCTTGGATTGTGGGGCTTTACTCACAATCATCCATAGCGTGGTCACCTCCCAAAGGGATTCCTGTAATGCATTCTACATGTGGCTGCCCTGGTGCAAAATGCAGTAACATGGGCGGTGATATGTGTCCCTGAAAGGACACACATTATAGCTCTGCTCGTGAGCTGCACTGGTTAACAGTTTGTTTCCAGATAACCATTTAAGGTGCTGGTTTTATCCTTTAAAGTTCTACATGGCATGGAGCCAGGTTATCCGAGAATCACCTCTCTCTGATTACAGCTACCTGTTCCATCTGATCTGCCAGGAGAGGCATCGTGCAGTTCTGCTAAGAAGTTCTGGTGGGACCTAGGAAATTATTTTTGGAACTGCATCCCCCAACTGCTGCATCATGTGGACTATTTTGATGTGTTACCTTTTCTAAAAACCCTAACTCCTTTTTTTACGACCCCGTAATCCCTTTTGTCACCTTGTTTTAATTTATGTTTAATAATTTTAATTGGCTGTTGTATAATATTTATTTGTTGGTTATTTTATGCCACAAATAAAAAAATTACAAATTTGATAATTAAATATATTTATATATATATATATATATATATATATATATATATATATATATATATATATATATATCACGGGTATTAAAACAGCATCCTGGGAGCAACCAGCCATCGACCACAGGCTCCATGTATTGGATGGGGTCTCTCTCTCACTCTTTTTTTTTTTTTTAAAAAAAGATCATTTTTTAAAGAAGGAATTTCTTTTATCCATTGAAACTCCTGAAACCCTGTCTCCAGACTTTGGCCACATTGACTTTAGGGGTGAGAATCTTGATCTGACAGAAGTTGTGCACCTATTGAACACGATTTACTGTTTTTAATGTTTTTCATTGTAAAGGATTCTGATTAGATAGTTTAGGTTTTTCTTGGACAGTATAAAGCATAATTTTTGGCTGTAAGCCACATGCTGTGCAGACTGTAGCCAAAGGGTATTTCATTGGTATATGTTTTTGGTCTGGGAACTCAAGGTAGAGTCCCCCTTTATCTTTTCTTCACAACAACTGTGTAAGCTATGTTAAGCTGTGAAAGTGTAAATCACAGGTGTCAAACTCAATCGTGTCACGTGATGTATCCTGATGTATCCCGATGTTTTTTGCCTTTGCGAAGCCGGGGTGGGTGTGTCCTGTGCTTGACACATCCGCCAGTTTGACACCCCTGATGTAAATAGTCCAAAGTTACCTGCTAATTTCATTACTGAATGGCATCTAATATGTCATCTGTGACAAGGTCCCCAGTCATGGGACCATGCCCCATTACCGGGCCTTGAGCCATTCAGAACCATGCCATGGAAATAGTGGGCAATCACATACATACATGTGCATTCTCACTTGCATGAGCAGCGGAGATGCACATGCATTCATCCTCCATTTGTGTGAGCGGTGGACATGCATGCCTGCCGCTCACACAAATGAAGCTCATACATGCTTGCCCACTGCTCATGCAGAACCATCTCCTCTCCCACCCATCCCCATGGGTCCACAAAGCCAGAAGGGTTGGGGAACTCTGATCTATGACACTTCCTTTCCTATATATTTCAAAAGCCAATAGTCTACTTGAGCTTTTTACAAGAAACTCAGAACATACTTGTTTTAACTAAATCAATAATGGCTGAAATATTAGATTAATTTACCTTGGAATAAGCTCTATTAAACTCAGTGAAACTTACTCTTCAGTGGGAATAAATAGGATTGCAGTCTAGTCTAGATCAATGTGTCAGAAAAGATCTATGTTTAGGAAAGTTCAAAAGTTGCAATCCCGGAAGATAAATATTCATTTTTTGCAAATGAAGGCAAATATATGTGTCCCAGGATAATGTTGCAGAATCCAATCTGAGTCAGTCACCAGGACCAGAGGCTTTATCTTCCAAGCTTTTGGACTTGTGCTGGAGCCCATCTTCAGGGAACTTCTCTCTAGCCTTTTTTTTTTTTTTTTGTATATTAAACTTTATATAGATTACAGGAGAATGGGCTAAATATGGAAACATTTGAAGTAACTTAATGGGTGGAAATTTTCCTGGGCTTACACCTCATCCAAGCTAATGAGGGCTACAGAATGAACATCTGATTCAGTTCAGTGTTTTTGGATAGAATTGTCTTGCATTGAGAAACCTGTTTGTGGATCTTTGCATTTCAAATTAGTTCTTGATTGGGTATATGTATGGAATAACACTTTGTATGGAAAATATTATTATTGTTATTCAGAAAAAAAAGCAGTGGTAGTGTCCAGTTTTCATTTTATGCTTGCTAAACATTGACTGATTCAATTAAGAGTCAAGGGCATATGATGAACATGAGGAACCAAGTGGCTCCTTGAATGAGAAACATGATATCCATGTTTTTTTTTCCATTTTGGACAAAACAGCCTCTGGTTATTTTTCTGCAAGTTCAACAGGAGCCCTGACCCATTGGCAACAAGATGGAGACTTGATCTTACTGATCAGAAGATCAACAGACAAGTTAAAATGAATTTTCTATCACTGGGAAATTAAAAATTTTCCTCCACCTAAAATAAACATAAATATCTTGAAGATGAAATGAAGCCTCAAGCGATGGTCAAGAATTAGTGAAGTTATTGTTTAAGAACATCTTCAAGTTTACAGATTCCCCAGATTTATCTCTAGAAGTTGAAGTATCACTGTAAAATATATGTATCCTTTTTCTTCAGTTCTGCACAGTATTATGCATATTACAAAATCCCTTGCATATAGAAGTACAGAGGAAAGAATTTTCCACACATAACTGGCCATCATAAAGTGAAATTATATTTGCTGAATGCAAAAACAGAAATATATATTCTGCAGTTAGAGCTCACAAGAATTCTAAGGAATAACCTAAAATGTGTACATAGCAGCATGTAAGATTCTATAAAAGCCATGAAAAACATTTTCATTCACTATGATCTATTGTTATCATTTACCTTTTGGAATGTAGTGAATGAACTCTACCAAAGCACATTCACTTGCTTTTGAAATGTAAGCAATACTGAGCCAATTACCTCAACTTTGTGCAGCAGCAACACACAGCACACTATTCAGGATTACTATGCAGTAGGATACAGCTACTGCAAAAAGGCCAGGAGGGTATTTCCTAACTGCCCACTTCCTGGTTTTTTTCCCATTCTTCAGTTGTGGTGGCACAATGATTGATGGTGATAGTGCTACTGACAAAGTTAAAAGGAACCATTCCTTTTCATTTCTGTCCCTTTTTTCAAACCCATTAGAAGTGAGGTAAGATAAAGACCAAAATGGCCACAAAGGATATAGAAAGGCAAGAGATTGAACCATATGACCACTGCAGTCCTTCCAACTTTATGATTCTATAAGGTTACATTTTCATTTTTAGGCCTTTGCCTCAATAACAGAAGTCAGAAGGGACAATTAACCCTCAGATCCATAGAGTTAGTTGACTGTGGAAATTAGGTAACTGTAATCACCTCATGATTAATTGCTTGGTCAATTTTCTCAATTTTTGTCTTTATAAAGCATGCATATCCCTCCTACCTGAATCATGTAAATGGTTATGTCAATAGGCCCTTTATTTATAGTGGAGTTAAATAAACTGGTACCCTCTAGCATTCTTCAACCCTTATTAGCCCTACCTAATTTGGCTAATGATTGTGGGAACTGTTGAACTATCTCAAAAGTGGATTGGAGTTTGCTTAAGTCCTTTTACTTTATCTTAGTTGGGATAAGAACTACCTTTTTAGGAATGTTTTTCTTTGCATCTTTGCAAAACATTCATTTCTGCTTGATTTGAAAATGACATGCTAGGAAAGATATGGAAGAAGATGCCATATCAAAAGAGGAAGTGGATGTACATCCTACATGAGCAAAACAATATATTTTATTTTTGTCAACAAACATAAGACAAGTGGCATTGATAATTATATCCCTTTCTCTAAAAGCTGAAGAACCCTGAATCTCATCAAGATCAGTGGAAAAAAATGAACTGTTATTCATGATCCAAAGGCAGCTTATTTAGTCATTACATTTATTACATGAAGGATTTGAATGTCTTTTTTAAGTTTCACACTCTTTAAATTAATTCATATTTTTTTCTTGACTATATTAGTTTCCTAAAATATTTTAGCAAGTCATCAGACTTTTTTTCCCCAGAAACAATCATATCCTTATTATCACATGCCACAAACTTCAGAGCTGCAAAGTAGATGGGAGGAACTGGGTTTGGGGGAAAATATTTGGATGTTTGTTTTGCATTTTAAAAAAATGTTATATTCGTACTTTTTGACTTTGAATACAGTTTTTCACCTGTTATCCATCTCAAAATTGATGACATAATGCTGTTAATTATCATCAGTTATGATCAGAAAGCTTTAGCAAACTTTACAGAAAGGAGATTTTATCTATGGTCCTTTTTTTTTTGTTATATACCAGTATAATTCCCCTACCTCCCCATATAGTAATCACTTTTTTCTATCCTAAAACCCCCAATTGGCTCAAAATATTTTCATAAGATATGACCCTGCTTTTGATTTTTTTTTGGTCAGTCTTTTGATGTTTTCTACTATCTTAAGAAAATACAAACAAAACACTTCAAGTAAATATTTTATCTTTTATCTGGCATAAATGCATCATGCAAACAATCAGTACGCCATCTGCTAAAGAAAGCATCTTCATTCTTTATTAAATCTCCACTGATTTCATCTTTTTATATTGCCATTAATTTAAATGCATGCAACTGCAAAAAAAAAAATTAGAAGCTTTAATGGGTCAAGCCATTCGTTAATATGCTTTATTTAACCTGTGCACTCTTTTCCATATTTAACAACACATAAACACAAACACACAGAGAGATATTTTAAGAGCACAAAATAGTAGAAGCTCTGAGAAAAACCAAACATTTCATTGACAACATTCATTGCAAGTACCTGTGTACAAATTCCCGTGTGCAAACATGTCAATCATATAGCGACAGAATGCAAATTGATCTGGCAGAATAGAAGGGGGGAAAAAGCAATAAGACATAATTAGATTGTTTTTTAATGAAAATTTTAAAAAAGAGTTCAGTACTGCACTGAAACTCTTAATGGCTTTTTTATTTCTTGCTTAAAGTAACCAATCATGAAACAAATGATAGCATTGGTGTTTCTGTATCTTTTTAAAGAGTCTTCAATAGAAAATTCCTTCAGGCTTTCTGCACAAAGATGGTGTTTCCAATGGCCGGTACTCTCTAAATCAGTGTTTCTCAACCTTGACAATTTTAAATCATGTGTAAGTTTTGAGGACCAAATCACCAATTCTTTTCCCTACCTCCACCTTCCCAAATTAGTCTCCCTCTACAAGGGCTAGGACTGAAATTCCTAGGACAAAAGGCCATAATAGCTGGGATTTGCAATCCCAGATCATGTACAGAATGCCAGTTTGAAAAATGGTGAAACTCATTCTTTTTTCTAACCAAGGGAATTGAACGTGAGTAATCTAGATGCTTCCCATATGGACAGTTAAGCTAACTAAGGGATGAACAATGTGAGGCCTTTAAGAGATGACTGAACCATTAATCCCAATAGCCCTGTCATGACCAATGGGGATAAAAGCTGAGCGTCTGAGTCCAGCAACATAAAATGGGCCATTCCTGAACAAGGCAATTTAGTCCAAATGTTTCTGGCATTTATTTATAGGACAATTGCATCTACTTGGTAATCATCACTTTCATTTTAAGACTGATTCAAGCTACTTTAAATAATTATGGATAGTTTAATTGAAAATCAAATATTTTCTGTTCAATATTTGTCTTTGAAAATAGATAAAAACAAATGCCTACTTTAATGCTATAGGCATTTTCTGTTATAGTACTATAATTCCCATTAAAATAATAAATATTTTTTTTAAAATCTACATGGACAAGTGAATATAAATAATCAATTAGACCTTGAGCAAATTTATGCAATTTATCAATTAATCAGTGAGAAAGTTATATAAAGGCTAAAGTGTAAAAAGAAGTGTTAAATATAGCTTATGATTCTATGTAACAATTGTCTTAATTGCACTTCAGAGGGTGCTTTACATGCAATCATTTTAATAAAAAATAGCATATACATTTGAAAGCCAGTGCATCAAGCATCATGTTAAGCTCCTCCTCCTCCTCCTCCTCCTCCTCCTCCTCCTCCTCTTCTTCTTCTTCTACTACTACTACTACTACTACTACTACTACTACTACTACTACTACTACTTCTGTTTCTCCTATTTTTGCTCTTCCTGCTCCTCTTGCTTCTGCTCTTCCTCTTCTCCCTCCTCCTCCTTTGCTGACTTTCCACAATCACCTGAATATTTCCCTGTAGTTTTCTTGGCAAGGTTTCAGAAGTGGCTTGCTTTTGCTGTCTTCCTAGGGCTGAGAAAGACTAGCCCAAAGTTATCCAGCTGGCTTCACATCTAAGGCATCTAGAACTCAGAGTCTCCCAGTTTCTAGCCTGGTGCCTTACCCACTACACCAAACTAGTTCTCATCTTTATTTTAGAAAGCACATTTAACCAAAAAAAAAAAAAAACAACAAGATAAATTGGCATGTACAAAATGGACATCCACAAACAAATTGATGCAACATAATCATACATGCATAAGTCCATAGAATCCAAAATAATTCACTCCTATGGTTATAAGAGTCCTATAAAGAATTTGCATTCAGAAGATAAATTTGCATTTGGTACAGAGTATTTGTACAGAAAGACAACTTCTCTATTTACTACCCTCAGATTTCAGATATAATTTGTTTTTGTTTTCACTGGGGCCACGTTCCTGGCCCCAGTTCTAAGTTCTTGTCTCTAGTCATGAGTAGGGCTATGTCACAATTTGGAAAATAGCAATGGCCATTGGACGGTCAGCAGAACTTGTAGTGGTCATTTCAGCATATTTTTTGTTTTGTGCTCCACAAAAATAAACATCTTCCCTTTCCTTTGGGCAGCATTTGTGATCCAATTATAAAAAGAGTTCTGAAGACCATTTAAAATTAAAACATTCTGAGGCAGAACAAAATTAACTGCATGATAAATCTGTGCCGCAGAAAATGATTTATTGATTCTAATTTATTTTCTTATTTAATTAAATAAAATATATTATGTTTATTCTTAATTTATCTGCAGCTGCTACAAAATAAAGGCTACTACATTCAACAGATGGAAAATGTTGGGCTCTTGCTGAAAAATTTAGGTCAAGTTTGCCTTCCTGGGCTCTTCCACAGACCATTTCCATTAGCAATGCTTTTCTACTAATTCCACTGGAAAGAACTGGATTTTCAGCTTTATGAATTGCCACCTCTGATATTCATCTGGAAGACGAATGCACAAAAACATCAGCTGTGGTTCCACTGAAGTCTAAATTAGATAGTGCACAAGTTATGTTGCCCTGCTCCAATCTGTGATTTTCCTGGCGTCCCTGGAAGCATACAAAGGGCAATTGTGCATTATGATCAACTGGTATGGAAGGGAATGTGTAATCCTTTCCCCCCAGCATTTCTGTGGTTGAAAGGTCATACTCCTTGGCAGGCAGTGTTTGGATATGGAGGTCAGTACTGAACCATGGCCCAGGATGAATGATTTTTTTTTTAAAAAAAAAGGAATTTGGGGAAAACATCAGCTTTCTCACATCACAAACATTATCCTGATGGCTTAAAATTATTATTTTTTTAATCACTAATTGCAACAATTATATAATTTGCATGTCACCTAGTTTTGCATTGCAGTTTCCATCCACTCTTTCTGGATATCTTTGAAAAATTCACATTGCTTCCTGGCTTTTTTTTTTTTTTTTTTTTTTACATCCAGTCAGAAAAGTTCATGTGCATTGCGATAAAGGGTTGGTTTATGCTTATGACACATGTGTCAGTTATCAATTTAAAAACTTTACATGGTATATTTCAATGGTATTATCTTTCAATCTGTCACACCATGAGTTACATTTTCAGAGCTATTTCTTTTTTTCGGGCGGGGGGGATGAAGGGATAGCAGTGAAACCAACCAATTTTTGTTCACCTTTAGGATGTGTTTTTCACTGGAATACTGGAATTGGCAAAAGACTTGGTGCTGTAAAGCACTGATGGAGAAGACTACCAGTTTTACAGCCTCACTCTAGCTATCAATAAAATATTTTCTTCCAACACAAACTGGATAAGATCAGACCCAGGATCTTTGGTTATACCTGTAAAACTATAGTACCTGCACTGTAGTTTACATCAGACATTGATCTGATGGATTACCACTAGGGAGAAAAAAAATCAATACAGTATATTTCATCACTATTTCATGTATAAACTTTCATGTATCCATTCTGCCAAACATATTTTTAAAGCCTGCCACCAAAATGCATACATTAACACATATTTAAATATATGTAGTTATACTTTCCTCATAAAATATTTATAGCTGCGTTATCTGATAAACACACATTTCTAACCATATTTTATCACAAAGTGCAGATTTTAAAGAAGATTAATAGATTTTTTTAAAAACAAAATTCAGAGAAACACAAAATCAGAAGCAATGGAATGAAAAATGTCTGGGAAAGGGTTCAGGAGCCAAATGTTCCTCTTTTTCTTTACATCTAGAGCAGGGAAATCTCCTTGTTATTATGCAGAAGTGACATAGCAGAGAAATGCAAAAATCTCCCAATTTCCATTTTTGTTCTGATGGGTTGCAGCTTGTAGGGCAATCCTGCACTCAGGATTGGTCTGCCAAAGGAAGAAATATTAAGTTCATACAATCTTCCTTCCATAACCCTATCAGCCCTTTGTCAGATCAGTACATGTTACTCATACTGAAAGCTCATTCAGAGAGTAATGAGAGCAATCTCTTTAGAAATGAGCTCAACACCAGTGCTCCCAATTTCTATATAGCACATCTGTCAAAAAGACAGAAATGATTGAACAGGTCAGAAAAACGAGTATGAAGGAATAGTAATGCTAAGGTTCAAGGTTTTATTTTAAAAAAAATCTAAATTTTGATTTTGTTTCCTAATACGCTGTGGCTAAAGAATAATGTCCACATTCATAATGCAAGTAATTGGGACATATATTTTTTTTCAATCTAATTTTTATACAGATTTACAATATTCATGCCCTTCAAGCTTGCTGGAAATAACTAACGCTTTTTCTGAGTTTGGCAGCGCAATTCGCAAGGAAATAAAAAGACATAAAATGCATATATTAGGTTATAATAGGCACAAAAACAAGTTTATTGGAATAAATATGCATATAAACACATAATATTATGAGAGCTTGGTTGAAGAAATACAAATATCAGGAAAGGTGTGCAGAAACATGCATGCAATAATAGAAACCCAAACAAAAAGCCCAAGCATTTTAATACAAAATTAGGGACAAATTATTTGAACTTTTGGAGGAGTATCCAGTCTGGCAGGGAAGAGGGCTGAAGCATGGGGCTAGAGTCACTATGCAAACATTAAAAGGGCAGAACCATCCCTCCCTGGATTCCTTGGAGTCTTATCTAATTATTCCCAAGAAAGAACTACCAGACTGGGGAGATTCCTGTATTTTAGGCAGAATATAATAAAGTAGTTAGCTCAAGCTCTGCACATGTGGGTCTGGTTGTTCATGCCTGACAAAACTTTAAAAAAATTGAGAAACCCATTCTTGACAAGTTTAGTCGTCTCCCCAAAAAAGTATTTACATAAGAGGGCTTCAAGATTAAAGATGATGCACAAACATTCCTAACCTAGATATGTTTAAATGTTGTACTGTCTTTCAAATGAATAGGAAGAGTTTAAAGAGTTGAAGTATGCTGTCATTTTAGTTACATGCATACCTTTGTACTCAAGAGATAATCCTAATAATTTCTAAGAAATAACTCATATTATGGGACCTAACCATAAATAGATTTAAAAATATAGTATTTTTGCACAGCATGGAGATGAACAGGAAGATTTTCATTTCCCTCTCTCTCTAAAAAGAAAAATAAAAGGAGGGGGAAGCCTACAAAAATCTTAAGCAGCTCAAATGGAAGATTTGTATGAAATTTTCAAAATTCTGTAAGTCATTAAAAAGATATATCCAAAATGCTAATAATATCTGTATTGTCTACCATCTCCCCATGAGAAGATGTTTCCAAAATGCCACCATCTGTGCTTAAAAGAAAAGCATCAGCAGACTTGGGAGAGGTACCCCATTTGAAGAAGGAGAAGGAAAAAAACACAATGCAGAATGGAATTCCAAAGAAAAAAACACAATGCAGAATGGAATTCCAAAGTGAATTCAAGTGAAGCTGAAAACAGCTCATTTAGGACTGACTCTCCATGTTGTTCACCAAAAGCTGGTTGGCTGATTACAAAGATGAGGAAATGAACATTAAAGCCTGTGAACTGGAATATTTTTTAAAAGAGAGTGGTTGGCTGGAATCACAAGCAAGAGCTAAATCGCTTGGAAAAGAAAGCAATGAGAAAAATAATGGAATGTGCTGGGTGGAAGTGGACAAGTAAGGCTATTCATCTAAGAGAGAAGGTAAGAAGTCCAGGTTGAGTCCACAGCTGGTAACTAAGAGTTGTATCCTACCTAGCATTCAACTGGCTACTGTGGTGTTTTTTTTGAATGAGCTAGATAGATTTTTAGAATCCATAAGAATTCTTCCCCTCTGAGATTCCTCCTGGAGATTGGCACCAGAGTGAAACAAAGTTACATAAGTCTTTGTTGTTAGATTTCAGATTTTATCCCCTTGTAATATATGATTCTTTTTACCCAGATTTCCCGAACCTTTGCACTTTTGCAGACCAGGGGTAGTTGGGTAGTTCTCCATGAGCAGCATAAATGGAGCATACACGCTCACCCACTGCTCACGCAAGAGGGAATGTGTGCACAAACACTTGCCCACAACTTCCGCAGCCCGGTTCCGATTGGCTCAAGGCCTGGTAGTAGTCCGTGGCCTGACAGTTGAGGATCCCTGTTTTAACCCATCTGAGAATGGTACATAAGGGATAGATGGATGGACTAGAAAAAAGAAATATACATTCCAGAAAGGTACATCTCGCAGAAGAGCCAGCAAAATGGCTGGCTGGCTGATGTTGTCAAAAGCGTTCAGAGAGGTCAATCCTCCCCATGCCTCCATTTTTTTTCTCATTCAATGCAGGTATTTTAGAAAGAGATATAAACTGCATAGATCTCCAAATCCATGTTCTCCAAATTCTGCCTACCTCTGTCCCTTTCTCATTCCAATTCCTGACAAATTCTCTTCTTAGATTTAAGAATGTAAAGCATTCTCTAGATGGAGGCTAATAGTCAAGAGGTTTCACATCTTTGTTCCTATGCTGGAAATGCTTTTGTAGTGAAATTTGTTCCTAAAAGAATTATTAGTTAAAAGAAGATTCAAGAGGAAAAACCTGCATGCCCCCCTCATAATTATGAATTCTTTTTAAAAAGGGGAATCTGAATTCCTTCCTGAACTTCAGCATTCCTTGCTGACCTCCTCCTGATATTTTTTACCTTTATGATCGATTTTTTCTTTGACTGCCAGGGCAGTCTCCTTTTTTTCTTTGGCTTTTGGTGATGTCACTTCCGCTGCTTTGATTTCCTTGGTCTTTAGTCTTTCAGGTGCCTTGGCCTCGGGTTTTTTTTCTTTCACGTCTTTTTTTAACTTTTCTTCAACTTGGATGCTCTTTTTATCTGCATGCAACATAAATGTTTTAGGTTCACAAATCCCTGCTATATGGCATTAAAAATATCTTCAGTACTACTTATGAAGTTTTAAAAGACCACAGTGTCGTTATTAACTATTAGTGAAAAACATAAACTGCAGAACAACTGTTTTAAGCACACTGTTTAAACAAGACCTAAATCTGTTCAAATACCTACAGATTTTTTAAAAGTAATTTCAATTTCAATTTTTACTTGCATTTGGACACACTTGTATTTAATGAAATTATTGTTTCTCTAGTTTTCTGAGTAAAACAATAGCGTGACAATAGCAAAATAATTCTCAGATGTCTCAACATTTAACAACACTTAATCTTAAGATTTAAATTCTGCACAATAGAAGAATAAAGTAAGGTTTAGACAAGGATTTTACAACTTGGCCATATCCAGATATGTAAACTTCAACTCACAGAATTTTCCAATTACTGCTGAGAATTTGGAGAGCTGAATTCCACATCTGATGTGATTCATATTAATGTTGAAATCTTATTGGCTTTATCATTAGTTTATTAATAGCCTCCTGAGGTGATTTGGCCTCTGCATTCCTGTTCCTGCTATATGATTAAAGAAGTTTAAGAAGTTCACTCCTGAATATTATTAAGGACTAAAGAAATACCTTTTGTGACAACTTTTTTTCCCATCCTTTCTTGCTGTTCAGTTTTCATTTTTTCTGTTACTAAAATGAGAAAATGAGCTGATTTTACCAATCAATCTATAAAACACAAATATGAATTTGTTCATTTAAGTAAAAGCAATTGATGTGGACTGGGAATCCCATATCTATGGAATGTTACTGTGGATTTAATTCGAAGAGTTAAATAGCAAAATGTTATGTAATCCTCACTAAAGATGTTAACATTACTTTACCAGCACTTTATATAATAAACAGAACTACACTAAGATACATGATCTTTAATTCCTTTGAAAAGGGATGTTTTCAGGTAATTTTGTTGTTTAATTCCATTATCCTTTAAAATGCAGAATGTGATGCAAAACACTTAGATAATCATACCTATCATCTGCCACCAAACAATGTGGATCGCTCAAGATACATCAGATCCATTTTCCCGGTATGTTTGGTGCAAATTACAAACTGTGGAGTAATATAGTACTTTGATACAACAGATAATCACGCTATTTACATAATCTCAATCTTCGTATATACAATCATTTTCAAGTGCTCTATTTTTAAAACAAAACATATCTATAAGAATGATCTGAGTTCTCAGAGCTGTAGAATGATGTAACTAGGCAAAACAAACATAAAGGTACAGTTCTCCTGCAGACTATTCCCATCAATACAGAGAGACAAAGAAGAGAAGAACTGAGGTCATCTACATCACCTCATTTTTTCCTTAGTTGACTTAAGAACACATATTTGCAAAATAAATGTATACTGTATTTTGCATTATATTTTATACTGAAGCAGAAAAGAACAAGGGAGCATAAATTGCAGGAACTGTTATTCCAGCTGTGGAAAAGCAACAGATTGTTTTAAATGAGAGAGAATAGATGAGTCTCAAGACTATTTTCTCCCTCTCAGGAACTAAATGGGACTTCCCACATCACCTGAGAATCTGGATTTTTCAGGGCATTCTCCATACTACTTTTATTATAAAGTCCTTGCTTACTACACTTTCATATTTGGTGGGGGAAGAAAACATTTTAAAAGAGTTTGCATCATTAATTAAACATGCAGGTATCGACAGAATGTAGAGGTAGGGTTAATAAAGTAATTCTTGGCCCTTTGGAGAATTGTAGTAGTGAAGATGAGAAATTTGTTACCTGAATATGGAGAAGCAGATCTCAATAAGGAGTAGAGTAACTTTCAAGTTCTAACCTTTGTCAGAGAACTCTTACAGAGCCTATTTTTTAACACCATTTACCTTGAGCTGTCTTTGAAGACAATTTGGAGATCACAACTTGCACACAATTTATTTATGTATTAAATTTATATGCCACCCATATCACTCTGCAAAGCCATTCTGGGAGGCTTACAAATAAAATTAGTGCCACAATAGCAACAGCACTTAGACTTATATACTCTCTAAGCAGTTTACAGAGGCAACATATTGCCCCAACAATCTGGATCCTCATTTTACCGACCTCAGACCAGATAGAAGGCTGAGTCACCTTGAGCCGGTGGGAATCGAACTGCTGGCAGTGAGCAGAATTAGCCTGCAATAGTGCATTTTAACTACTATGCCACCATGGCTTCTATGCCAATTTTCCAATGAATCGCTAAGAAAAACAAACCTATTCATCCACAGTGTATCAATGGCAAGCTCAGAAAAAACTGTTTATGGCTTCTGAGTTGTTCAAAATGTTGGAACTTATTTTTCAAGCACTCTCCAATATACAAGCAACACCAAAACCATCTCTCTTAATAATAGTTCCATTATCATCTGTGTTAACCAGAACAGCTCCAACTCTGAACAGCTTCACAAGTGTTCTTTGTGACAGAATAGATATAAGATTTCAAGACCAATGTTATTAATGCAGTTTCCATTAGGATGTGACCGGATGAAATCAGAGACATTTATTTTTCCTCCTCAGTAAGGCCTTAGGAATTATTCTGCTTATACTGGGAAAGTTAGACCCCTATTGGTTTATTTACTGGTGGAGCCTGAGGCTCTAGTTCCTACTATAACAAACCTAATTTTACCAGACGATGCAAGATGCTTTGCAAGCTGCAAAAATTATTCTGATTTATATAATCTGCATTATGTCACCATTGTACAAATGACAGAATTTCTGCCATTTGCATCATTTCTGTGCAAATCATTATTTATAAAAGATGTAAAACCCCACAATGCCTTACTGGCTGGGCAGGTGGCATTCCTGAATATCCTTCCTCACATTTAATCTGTTAAAATGAGGATTCAGTCAAATAGTGATTGCTGTTAATATTTAAGTTAGAATTTTATTCTGTTTTAATATAAGTGGCACTCTGTGAATCACAAAAATCAGGGAAAAGATCATAAATATACCATAAAGTGCCACTTTATGTTATCTACTTAGAAACAATTCCCATTAAATTCCATAGGATTACTGCCATTTTGCATCCACTTTTTTTTGGAATAAACCCTATTGAATTTTGTGAGGATTACTTTTGAGTAGACATGTGATAGATATCCAGTTTAATTGGAATATGAGGTAGAGTTGACACTTTTATAGTAAGCACCTAAATATAAAAACTTAAAGGTAGTTTTTATCCTACCCTTCCACACAAATACACACATATGAAGAGTGAAGAAAATGAAATCAATGCAAAACATATAGATTCCTCTGTACTTTCTCCCAAAGCTTATTTTAAAATACAATGCCAATAAAAGGAATTGCAAACTTCCTCTCTCAGAACTTCTACCCTACAAGATTTGTGGCAATTTAATGAACAGCTTATCCCAGCATCTTTTTCCCCCCTCTCTGGCTGTAGAATAAACGTGAAACTGTCAGTGAGAGAATTTAGTAATAGAGGAATAAAAAAGTTGATGTGGTAAATAATAGAGCACAAAGTGAACCTCTATTTTTAGATGTGACGAAAGTCATATATAATGCAATACAAACAACCTCAGAAATAGCCTGAGTCTCACTTAATGAAAAAGTGATATGAAGGTAAAAGGCTTGTTACAAAGTTTTCTCTGCCACTAATTTGGGAGAAAACAATCACCACCATTACCTTAAAATACCAATCGGTTGATCTAGTGCAGGGGTCTTCAAACTTGGTCCTTTTATGACTTGTGGACTTCAACTCCTCAGCCAGGCATGCTGAGGAATGTTAAGACACCACGCTAGAAAGGGGTGACTGTGAGTTCTATTCCCGCCTTAGCTCTGAAAGTCAGCTGGGTGACCTTGGGCCAGTCACTCTCTCTCATCCCAACTCATCTCACAGAGTTGTTATTGTGGGAACAATAGGAAAGTGTGTTGGATACATCCATCACCATAAGTTATTTATAAAAATAATAAAGGTGGGATACAAATAGACAAATGTCTTGCCTCTGACTGCAAAGAGGCACCTGCCTAGGAAAATTTGTGCACAGTAGTTTTGTTACATGCACAGGCAATCTGATGATAAAAAAAACAAATATGGGTAATGAAAGAATAACAGTCCTTTGAAAAAAGCAACCTATGTTAAACCATTCCTACAGTATTTCATCAGAGTTCATCCACTGAAGTGCTTGGAGAAGAAAATCCAAAATAAATCCAAGTGCTTGGAGAAGAAAATCCAAGAGAGGATATATACCTTGACAGACATCATACAGAAGATAGCTGAACTCACTCATTCTTGTGCCATTTCAATAGCAGTTATATGGAGAAACTCCCTTGTCAACAGAGTTACACGGGAGCATTCTGCATTCAGTTCTGCCCCCTCCCATCAAAAATGTGCTGCTTGTTGAATTATTCCTCAGTAAAGTAAAATTAGCAAAATTACCTTTTGGGGAAGAAACTGCTTTCTTTTTCTCTTGTTTTGCAGTCTTCTCCTTGGAAGAAACTGAAACATTTTTTAAAAAAATATATAGTATAAATATATTTTCATGTATATGATCATGATTATCACTATTACTTATATGTACATTGAGAGCTTATGCACTGGAAACAAATTCCTTGTGTGTCCAACTGCATTTGGCCAATAAAGAATTCTATTCTGTTCTGTTCTGTTCTGTTCTATTTATAGAAAAGAATATAGAAAAATCAACAATAAGAGAAAATTATTACATTTCAGTAACAGATCTTGAAAAATAGTAATGAAACAAAATCAAAGATTATGTCAGTGAAGTATAGAAGTTCTTATTTTTCCTTTTGGCACGAAAAAGCAAGTACCATACAAATGGCCTCCTCAAAGGGAAATGTTTGAACTTCGTTTCTACAAAGCCCAACACATCACTAGTATTACTTCTCTTCTGGCGTACCTAGGAAATTATTTTTTCTCTCTTTCACTCTTCTTTTCCTCAAAATAAACACTTGGTTTGTATTTAGGAGGAGGTATTTGAAGTACACCATTAAATATCCTAATCAAGCAGCCTCAAATTTTGATTGTTCAGTTTGTTTCTTGAAGCACTAGGAATTAATGACTGAAAGTGTTCACCTACTAACTGTTTCACCTTCACTGGCAGCTTACTAAAGTGTGAGATTTAACAGAATTACAGAATTGGAATGGACCTGGAGACCTTCTAGTCCAGTGATGGCAAACCTTTTAGAAACCGAGTGCCCAAACCACAACCCAAACCCCACATTTATCACAAAGTGCCAGGGCTGCATCAGCATTGTGGTACCCTCAGGGGGGTATGGGGGCATGGCCCACTGGGTGGGCGTGGTCCAGTAGGTGGGCATGGCTGTGGTTGTCACAGCAGACTGGGTGGGCGTGGCTGGGGTGGATATGGCCACCTCGATGTTGCTCATGGGGGGGACACCTGTGGGGGCCGGGCAGGGTTGGGGGAGATCCAGGGAATCTCTGGTGGGTGGGGCGGTGGGCAGGAGGCCCAGCATAGATGGGGGAGGTACGCAATTCTTGCTGGGACTGGGGGGCCATGGCACCGATGAAGATCCAGCTTTCCCTGCTCAGGATGGCCTTTGGCTTGCTGGGTGTGGGCATGCTCTACCACCTCTACTCAAGCTTGCTAGCTGGCCACTTTGCCTCCTTTGTGCTGGGTGGGGTTGCTGCTCCGGGTGACGGCGGCCTAATGGACCTGCGCAAGCTTCTGGCAGCGGCAGCATGTGTGCCCACAGAGAGGGCTCTGAGTGCTGCCTCTGGCACATGTGCCATAGGTTCGCCACCACTGTTCTAGTCCAACCGCCTGCTAAGCAGGAAACCCTACACCATTTCAGACAAATGGCTATCCAAAATGGTATAGGGTTGTTCAGATCCTTTGTGTTTTTTAATTGCCATTAGAAGCAACTTTTTAATATTTTAATGCACTTGTAAGGTTTCAAAATGGCCAGTTTTTAAATAAAGACCTTTATATTTTAAGAGATAACCACAAGAGAAATGTATATGATTGTGGAGCTGTTATAAATATGCAGGGGCATATACATAAAACCCCTTCCTGCAGTGCTAATTCCATTGAAAATCCTCTTAAAACTTGGTTTGTCAACTGAAATGATGCACACAAATAATAGCTATGTCAGTCAATAGTTCAATTTCCTACCACATATGACCCTTAGCCCCAATTGGCCATGATTGTGCCATAAGGAAATGTTAAATTCAATACACTATAGTGAAAAATGACCGTAAGTGCTCCTACAAATACCATATGTCCTCTTGCCTTAAGCAAGTCATTCTCTTTGCAGGCAAGTATAATACAATTAGCTTTTTATTATCATCCATCAACTTTCAAAGTAGTACACAAGTGGGTTTTTTGCCTGGGAGAGCACCATAATTTTCATGACAATTTCATGGGATAATCATAATGGGTGGAAACAATTTGTGCTTATCTACTGAAGAAAAGACATCTGCCAGTGGAATGGATTTAGTCTTTCCTTACAGGCTTTAGCACCCCTAATTCTGCTTTGGGGACTTGGGATCCTCTGGAACAGATTTTTCAGGGTTATGTAGGGGAGAGGGAAAGGAGAAAATGGAAAAATGCGGTATACATGGAGAACTACTCATTAAATACAGTCACAACAGATGTAATATACTGATTTTGATTTCTCATGAACTAGATATTCATGGGTCACCATAACTTTTATTTAAGATCTCAGTAAAAATGTAAATATATTATTGCATATTTTTTATATACAGTGGTAACATTTTCCCCTAACAATCTTTGCAAAAATCATGGGAATAATATTACTATTATGGAACAGGAAATCATATTTTTGTAGTGCGTGGCCAGTGAGGTGCCCAAAAATGTCCAGTCAATAGGCTGAAATTTGGTGATCCAAGTCCCTAAAGAATAAAGGAATTAACATCAAGCATGATAATGTCTATAAACAATTTGGCAACTGCCAAATGAATTACTCTTTTGTAGGTTTACTTAGTGTGCTGCAACACAACGGTTATTTTCTTTAATTAAAACGAATGTTCTTCTGTCACTCATTGCTCTTCCTCAAATTTCAATAGGTTGCAACTAATCAGATAAAATTTTAAAAACTGAAAGTGTGTAAATAACCCACTATTTTCCCGCAAATGAAAGCAGTGATTTCCTACATAAAGCAGAATAACAGAAGAATGAGAGAATCCATCTTGAGTGAATATATCTTGTCAAGAAACCTGATCTAGGAAAAGGGATTGGTCCTTTTTTAAGTAGTGGATTTTAACTGATTTCGGAGAAACACAATGAAATAAAAATGAAAAAGTTAAATTCAGCTTCATATTCCATCTCTCAGCAAAAACTGATTTGGGGAATGAAATATTTTCTCCCTATTTCCTATGGGTGTTTCATATTAAAATTTAAATTGTTCTTCTTCAGAATTTATGAAAATTATAATTACCTATAGCTTTTTCTTTCTTTTCCATCTTTCCAGGTTGCTCATATTTGCTTTTCTTTTCAGGTTTTTCTCTTTTTTCAACTTTTTCATGTTCTTCAGGTTTTTCTTTATGTATCACTATAAGCAAATCAATATATATTTAGATATACAATTAAAATATCTTCTTACCAAAATAATGCAATTACATTTTCTGAAATACTATTGACATTGGTCTTATTTTGCTACATTACTCTGCTATACTTTCCCTTCTGTTCATGATCATGCAGTATGGCATGTGCAGGATTTCTATGGAAACCCTATTCACAGAAGTCACTCCTTATTGCTCATCCATAAAATGTACCTCAATACTGTCACAATATAAATCAGTACAAAAAGGTGGCACTATGATCAATATATTTCCAAATAAATCAACTAAATGTATTCTAATTGTTCAGTGATAGACATTCATCAGAAAGCTAATAATCTTTCCTCTAAATCTAGTCTAGTTATTATTTTTGCATTTCCTCATTCAGTTCTTCACTTGATTAGAAATTAAAACCAGGTATTGTTCCTTTGCTGTTGATTCAAACTCTCTATGATCTTCATCATACTGTAGATTAGAAAGAGGGAGTTTATTTTTTCCTCTTACAATGGTGAAATGGTTTTTCCATTTTGTTAGGAAGCAAAGAGCTGCCAAATCCTGTTAGATCTCCTTATTTGAGCATCTGTTGGAAAAACTGACAATTCACATTTCTGAAAAGAGCAGAAACTGTTCTAGCACTGTTAGGTCCATGAAACTTCAGCAGTAATTGCCAAAAAGCAATCATGGGGTTAAACTGATTACCAAGGTTATTTATTTGTTTCTTTCTTTGTTTGTTTGTTTCCAGTGGTTATTTCTCACCTTTAGTAAGTTCCCTTTTTTGAGGTTTTTCTACTTTTTCAAGCTTTTTGGTCTTCTCTATTTTTTTAGGCTTCTCATATTTCTCAGGTTTCTCTTTGTGAATTTCTATAAATAACAATATCAATACATTTACATTTCTAAGTAATCTGCAGTTTAGAAGAGTAACATGAAATAATGTTATCAAATACAGATGTAAAACTGGCCTTTTGAAGTATAATAGTCATGCATGACAAAGTTGAGTTAACCAATGAGATTCAACACAAATATTACACTATATTCTACCCACTGTACTATACCAATCTGGAAAATTTCATTACATCAGAGTAAAAGTGGTTATATCACATCACATGTAAGTCAACCATAGTTCCATGCTTTCATTTCTCTGCTTGTAGGCGTTACCCATGAAGAATTTTACTGGATCCGATCAGCATATAGTATAGATACATAGAGAATAGAGACCCCATTGTGGGATCTGTCCTCCCTCCCTCCATGTGCTTACTGTAGGTGTGATAAAATTGATATTTCTACATTGCTGTTGTTTGTTCTCCATACCTTGGTGGAGGTATAGTGGTGCAGTGGTTAGAATGCAGTATTGCAAGCTAACTCTGCCCACAGATAGGAATTCTATCCTGACCAGCTCAAGGTTGACTCAGCCTTCCATCCTTCTGAGGTCTGTAAAATGAGGGCCCAGATTATTGGGGGCAATGTGCTGACATTGTAAATCTCTCAGAAAGCACTATAAACAGTGATGGGATTCAAATAGGGTTCTCTGTGTGGTTCTCTGTGTGGATGCCACTTCCGGAAGTCAATTCTGGGCCTGGACAACAAAAAATTAGCTACTGGTTCTGCTAAATTGATACAAACTGGTTGCATCCCACCACTATTTATCAATGCAACTTTCTATTATTAACAAAAAATACATTTCCTGCCAAGTAAGGTTTTTATTTTTGGAAATTAGTCCAGCTGCAAGGGCATGAGTTAACAATGGGGTGTTTTTTACACAAGCACACATCTTCAGGATGGATTGCATTTTTAAATCCAGCTATCTAGGGGACTATTTTCTGTGGACTTATAGAATCAACACCCACAAACAGCTGCTCGCTCACCCACAGTGTCATTCCTGTTTGTGTGCTTAAAATTCTTAAGTTTGTTCTGAAACTAGTGAGAAAATTATTCAGCTCATTAAGGAAATGGTTTCTAGCTTGACAAAGAAAAAACGCTTTTCTGTCCTCAGAGTACAGCAATATTCCTTATTACACGAAGCTAAATTTATTTGATGAAGCAAATACAAATAGAAACAGTGCATTCACTACACACTATTCCTTGCCTTTTTACTAAAATTCCAATGCTGACTGGAAATGTTGACAATTTGAATTCCAGTTCATCTGGTGGCTACAACATTGGGGAAATGGGTTGATGGAGTTTTTTTTAGTAGAAATTAGTTTAATTTTATATCCATGTACAGTACAAAGGAGATGATTCCATGCACTGTTATGATCACAAAGATTCTGTACAGTATATGATACATTACTAGTGAATTAACCTGTGAGATGTCATACCTCTGTAGTTTGACTTGATGATGATAACTATTGTTCTTTTTTCTTTGGAACTGTTCTATTTCAAATCAGCAACACAACAGACCTGAGGCCACCTACAGTACCAAGGTCCCCTCCAATAAATGCCAAAATATCAGTGGCACAGCCATTTGTAATTTTAAGCTAGGCTATGGATACCAGATGTAGACAGCAAGATTGTAATTCAACAATTTGTAATTTGTTGGAATTGGATCATATCAGAACTATACAACTCTGGATGACTCATTGATGGCAGCAAAACATTAGTAACCATATCTCAATCCAACAGTTCCTCCAGCAGCTTGTCTGGTATAGAAAAGAATGAGTAGGTAGTCACCTTAGTCCCTGCAGTCTTAAAGCCCCACTGGGCACTCTCTGTTGCCCACTCCTTGGCCCACACCTTTAACAAAAATTAACAACTTGCATATCTTGATTGCTAAAATATGAATGACAGCTAGATAACAGCAAAGAGAGTTTTTAAAAATCTAATGATCACCCCACTTTCTACACCTGATATCTGGTAGCCTAGGAAATATGCAAAGCTATCTGTTATTTATTTATTTTTTTGTATTATTTTATTTATTTTTATCCCAACTTTATTATTTTTATGAATAATTCAAGGTAGTAAACATATCAAACAGAGTTTCTTCCCCCTATTCTCCCCACAACAGCAACTCTGCAAAGTGAATTGAACTGAGAGAGTATAATTGGTCCAAACTCACCCAGCTGGCTTCCATGGCTAAGGCAGGATTCAAACTCACAGTTTCCCGCTTTCTAGTCTGGTGTTTTAACAATTGGACCAAATTCACTTAGCTGCTGTAGGTGGTTTTTAAGCACTTGAAGGATATGATGTACATTTTATAATAAATAAAAATAAATATCTGATGAATAACCCATTCACAATTTGTTTAATCTATTATTTATAAGACTCCAGGTGGCTCTTGCTATAATCTTATTCCCTGAAATAAAATATACTGAGCTCAGTACAATTTCTATGTACAACAGATATTTACAATTTCTCCACTAATATAAAATGTTAAAGTTAAATCATATCGAAATCTACAACAGTCATCTAATAACATAGTAGTATAAATGCATGTGTTAGCGCATACACAAAGGGACACACATACAGACACATTCTAAATAAATAAATGCTTATCTAAAACCTTGATATTCTCATGGCCTGTGAATATTCAGTGTCACCAAGGAAGAGATGTCAAAATGTGTAATCATTACTGGAACTTGAGGTTTCTTATTTTGGCAACACCTGCTGTGATAGATAAGTACATAGCCTGAAGTTATGTCTCTTTCCTTGTCCTTATGAGGAACTAAGGTCACTGTTCTACAGATTGAGATTAGCATACTGCTAATCTTTGCATACTGTGCAATGACCAGGATGCCAAGATCCAAAGGGCAGGGCTTTCAAACTAATTTCCACATTGCCATCCAATGCCGAGTGGTAGAAAAATATATTTATTCATTACATAAAATAATCTACATTCCATTTTACTGAATAAGTTAACTTACTGCTACATAGAGACAACAAGGCAGCACTTTCTACCCTCTAGCCAATATGAGCACATACAACCTATAACATTGATATTGGTATGTTTGTGTTGTGCATGTGTCTGTGGGTGTTTAGTTTGTGTGCGTGTGTGTTTGTGTAGAGAGAGAGAGTGTGTGTGTAAATGGTTCTGAAAAGTATATACATGAAATGAAAGCTTTCACTGGTCATGTTTAAACTAATACTAATTCAAACTAGAATTCTAGTTTAGAAATTCTAGCATTGTGAGATTAGTTTAAACTAGACCAATCTTAACATTTCCATTTTCACACTCACTTTCATCTTTTGACATCAACCTTGATGTGCAGTTTTAAAGCCCAAGTCTAGTTTTACTTATCTGAACATAAGCCATACCAATCAAAATAAAATAATAAAGAATCAAAGATTATCACATGTTCAAAATTCTGTTAAAACTCTAAGACACCATTCACACTGACCATGGATGTTCCAGTGTAAGCCTTTCCAAGATTGTTCAAATATGGAGTGTGCAAAACTATTTATATAAAAGGTTAAACAAAAGTGTGCATAACATTTATCTAGGCTACCATAAAATCTATACCCAATGGTTTACTTAGATACAAGACCGTAAAATGTGGGCTGAATCTCTATTTCCGTGGTGGCGAACCTATGGCATACGTGCCACAGGTGGCACGCAGAGCCTCTCTTTGAACACGCGCACCGTCCACCCAGTCCTAGGCCTTCAATTGGGTTTTATAAAACCTTTTTGCTTTAGGGCTCTGCCTCTGTGTGCAAAAAAAAAAGGTTCAATCAATCAATTTCAACTTCTCACGGGAAAAAAAAAGATCTCGCAAAGTTGGAATTGATTGATTGAACTTTTTAGTCCCACCCAGTCTGCCGTTACCACCTCAGCCACGCCCACCCAATGGGCCACGCCCACCCAATGGGCCACGCCAGTCCCCGATGATACATAAGTGGGTTTTGGGTTGCAGTTTGGGCACTCGGTCTCTAAAAGGTTCGCCATCACTGCTCTATTTTGTGTTTCAACTGTAAGCTGTTTCATTTTATTTTCACTATATAAGGTGTACCAATATTAACAATCCTTTTCTGCTATAAGTAGAATGTGGATCCTTTTCTGGCATCTGTATTAAAAAGCATAAAAGCATTGACCTTTTGCAGGCCTGCTTATAACTGATGAAATCTGCAGCTTAATTGTTCCTGATATCTTGAAGGAAGGGGCTGTAAAGTGAGAGAGATCTTCTATGTTGCCTGATCCTCAAGACCAGAAACCAAACTCACATGAACCCCTGCCAATTTCTCTTCTAAAATTTTCTTTAGCACCACAAATATTCAACCTTGCCAGCATCAATCCTCAGATTACCAACTTCCCTCAGAACCAGTCCAGCTCTGAACGTGAGGCATTTTAACCTTGGCAATAATGTATACAGAGAAGGACAAGGAGATGGGGTGGGGGCAGAATGACGAAAACAATACCATATTGTCATAATATAAGTTTTACCCTTCTGTAACTGTGCCATAATCCATTCATGGACAAATGTGGTAAGACTGTGACAAAAGCATCAAAATTCTATTGAGAACTATTAAGTGACAGTGCCGCTGTGTTATCCTAAGCTGGGCAACATAATTTTGTATAAAAATATCCTGGATCCAAGTCTTCATTTCACGGTAGGACTTCATCTGCCCTATGCTGATGTACAAAATAAATGTTAGAGAACCCAATTTTCAGTATCAACAGCATCCTGTGCTAATGCCAGGTGTCACCTTTACAGAAGCTTAGTTGCTCCTGTAAGCATATCTTAGGCGGGCAATTTGGCACCTCTTTAAGTCTTAGCCAATAATTAAAGATGAGTTGGAAAAGGTCCTAGAACCATAAATAGCTCCTGGTTTTCATTTTTAGGAAACAAGCAAGTATATCTTCAGGCATTCTGAGAATTAATCTCAGAAAAGAATTCTGAATGCTACTGAAGCCTGGAACCTATTCAATATTTTGGGTAGAAGCATTAAATTGAGAGCAGGAGCCCCCTTGCATGCCCTCCCCTAGACATATACCAAAATGTTATTAATCCATTTATTTCCTGCTCAGCCTTTAACTGCCTCTAAATGCAGCTGCCATGGGCCTGAGGCTGCATACAATATTCTAGGAATACCTATATTGCTTGGCTTTGTTTTATGGCATTCTAATTTATACAAGCAGTTTTAAATTAAAATCATTTGTATACATTAGAATTATGCAAGTGAGTAATCACTTTCTCCTTCTTCTGGGAGAGATAATCATCTCTAGTTTAATGAAAACAGATCAAACTAAAAAAAAAAAGGTCAGCTAAATATACCATATTTCACAGGCCTATATTTATTAGCCCAAGACCAGTCGCACTATGATCTCCATGAAAATTCTATACGGGGGATTTAAGAAAAATATATTGAAATATCATTTTGCCATTATTACTTTAGTTTAGTAAACATCTAGACTCACACACTATTTCCCTTCCCCCAAATTCTTCTGCATTTGCCTTGCTGCCAATGCATATTTAAATAGAAGAGTGTCTGCTGAAAATGGGTTGACTTCTTAAAGCAGGGGTCCTCAACCTTGGCAACTTTAAGACTTGTGGACTTCAACTCCCAGAATTTCTCAGCCAGCCCCTGATTAAAGGACAGTGTTGTGCAAAGCTCAAAAAAAAAATGCATTGCTTCTGTGTGGAGTGTCTCTTTGAAACATCTTGGCATGGTAAGTTCCCTGAAGTAAAGAGCGTTGCTTTGAGAACTTATCTACTAGATGAGATTATAGAAGAAGATAAAGTGCCTTGTCTATGGTTGCATGGCCTCCTCAGCTCAGTGAGGTAAATTATATCACACTTGCAACTTTATAAAGGAAAGTTGTGGAGCAAAGATAAAGCATGGCCTTGTACATACTTCTTCAGTATTAGTTTGGGGACATTAGCAAGAATATAGAGAAATCTATAAAAAACAATAGCAAACTATAAATAAGGAAAGGGCACAAGGTAATTTGGTTCTCTCTGCAGAAGCAGTAACACTGCTTTACTAATCCAGCATTTATGCATATATATATATATATATATATATATATATATATATATATATATATATATATATATATATATATTGAGGCTTAAAACACCTCAGTTTAAGATTGTTTTGCTGATATTTGCTCTCTATTTTTAGTTACATTAGCAAAGTATTCCTCATATATTACCTTCTATTGCTATTATAAGACAGGCATTTTGAGGTAGATCTATTTGGGTTTTTAAAATCGTACTTATAAAGTTTTGTGTTTTCTTGTTCTTTCTTTTCTTATGTTTATCAGTCATTCAAGGTGATGTAGGTTTTATTTTTTAAAAAAATAGAACGTCTGCCATCTTAAACTGGCATGTTTGTAATGCAATATGTTTTCAATTAACTCTCTCTGTGTGCGGGTGTACACATTCATATTAATAATTAACACCTTGGCATAAATTAAAATATATTTCTTTTTTCCTAATTTGGTTTACTCCACGCTATTCTGTTCAAGACTGAGATAATTCAAGAAGGACCATATTGTTAATAGCCATAATTAAGCACTAATTTGCATAGTTTGAGCCTGTGGCAACCAATTTGCTGTCTTCCTGCAAGCTTGGAATGAATTTGACACACAAGAAATTATTTGCATGTTGCCCACTGCTGCCCACTACACATTAAATAGAATCTTGAAGCTCTTAAGTACAGCCACTGCAGCCTTGGGAGCAGCTGCAATCAAATGTCAAAAGTTAATCTGGGCTCAGTTTAGCAAATGGCAGACAGCAGCAGGTGGCCCTATCAGAAATGGGTCAGCCGATGGCAATCCAGGTGAAAAGACTAAAAAATTCAGCATTTGCAGACTCAAATGATACTGCCAGCTTTCATTTCTTCCATTTTTCTTTGTGCTATTAAACCAGTGTTCAGAAGGTCGTACTATGGTTTAGTGCCATTTCTGATCAATGCAATAGTTCCAATGTTCAGAGTGTAATATGATAAGAATAGTAAGAAAAGGAAGAAAAAGAAAATGAAACATATAAAGAGTGAACAAATCTTATAAAGATTTTAAACACTCATTAAATAGGCCTATTCTAAAAGGGGTTTTTTTTGTGTAGACAAAGGTAATATATTCAGAATATTTTATTAATGTAGCTAAAAAATCCAGGCTAATGTTGACAAAGGAATCTTCATTTGAAGTGTTCATAAAGACTTAGCCAAGATATTATTTTTTCAATCAATGAGATTTTTTATTCTTTAATTCTTCAATATTTTGCAATAATTAATACTGTTTGATTAACCCCTACGGGAAGAAATCACTAAACTATAAGAGTAACAGAATAACAGAATTGGAAAGGACCTTGTAGGTCTTCTAGTCCAACCCCTCTGCTCAGGAAGGAAACCCTAACCACTTCAGACAAATTGTTGTTCAATCTCTTCTTTAAAAACTCCAGTGTTGGAGTACCCACAACTTCTGGATGGAAGTCATTCCATTGATTAATTGTTCTAACTGTCAGGAAGTTTCTCCTTAGTTCTAGGTTGCTTCCCTCCTTGATTAGTTTCCACCTGTTGCTTCTTGTCCTGCCTTCAGGCGCCTTGGAAAATAGCATGACTCCCTCTTCTTTGTGGCAGCCCCTAAGATATTGGAATACTGCTATCATGTCCCCCCTTGTCCTTCTCTTCATTAAACTAGACATATCCAAATCCTGCAACCGTTCTTCATATGTTTTAGATTGATCTTCTTGTTATATGTTTCTTCACCATGTCTGTGAGAAAATATAGGCATTTCCTTCAAGGTATCCCTAAAGCTTATTTGTCTGAATATTATTTCCAGCTCTATTTTATTCTATTTTAATAACTGGTTATATCCAGAGGTGTTTATTAGCTGATGAAACAACCACCAAACACTCTTCCAGAGCAGATCTGTGAAGTGTGATATAATCATGGGAAAATCTATTGTGCAAAAAGTTTGTTTTATACAATTTTATCTTTATATAACTTTATCCTTCAAGTAAGTGTGTGTGTTTCCTAAGGTTTGGGGCAGTTTTGTATGTTCTTCTTCTACATAAAACATTTGTACGATAAAATAAATGAAACTAATTACCTTTGAGCGGTAGTTTCTTTTCTATTTTCTCTTCCCTTTCAGTTTTGTCTCTCTGAATTTCTATGAGCAAAGAAGAATACCAGATAATTAGACGAAAATAAACTGTTGTGTTTTGAACATTGTGAAGAAAGTCCAGTACAAATACATCAAAGTTGACAAATGCACAATTGAAGTATAGGAAGTTCGGATCAATAATATACTCACCACGGATAAGACATCATTCTTAATATGTCCTATTTTAACTAACCACAATTTGGGGTGGGGTGGGGTGGGGTAAGATGAATAGGTTTTCTTCTACATGCTGTTGTGGATTACTTTCCAATAAAAATGAGAGGAAACCATGTTGAAAAGGTATTTGATTCTGCTTGATAACTCAGGCAACAAAAAAATGCATGTTCTGGTGGAATTGGTTTCAAGGCTTACTTTTTAAGCTTGCTGACATCAACAATGGACTCAAGGGCATTGACTATAACCCCTTGCGTGTGTTTGTACAGTAGATTGCTAAACCAGATCTGCCAACATACAAAATATACATACTCAAATAGATATAATATTACCTTTTGGGGATGGCTTTTTTTCTACTTTCTCTATTTTTTCAGCCTTGTCTATCTGGATTTCTGGAACAGAGAAAACATTACAGAAGCTTAATGACTAGAATATTATGCTTGAAGTATACAGATACTCCTTATACTTTGCTCTTGGTAGGATTTCAGCTTTCAAAATGTATTCCATCAAAAAAAATCACTTAAGGTAAAAACCTCAACATTCAGTTCAGAATTGGCTTTCAGAGAAATGTAATGAAACTGCTCTGAGCCATTTTTTCTAGTGATAGTGATACATTTTGCTGTTTCTCTCAGTGACTTTACCTGAAAATATACCCAAGATGTGAAGAAAAATGTCCTTGCGTAAGGTGCTCAAGTAGGTCTGCATCTAATCAGATTGCAACAGAATGGATTTTACCATTCCAGTTCAATCAGATTCCAAGTTTGGTTTTGGGTGTGTTCTTTGTGATAACTCTTGATGGGAGAAACTGGCACATATAGAGATTTTCATGTATAATTCTAATAACAGATATTAGATTTCCACAATACATTATCTTACTTATACTTTTCCCTACAGATTGTTGGTCAGAAAAAAAATCACAAAATTTGGAAAATCGTAAATACAATAAGATTGTTCTTTCTGCAGTGATTCAGAAAGTATGAAATGAGCAAGTTTGCTTTAAAAAGTAAGCCAATTGAATTTTCTTCCATCTTAAGAATTGGTAATGGTTGCCTCTGTAATGGTTTGCCTCTATGAATACCAACAGGATATTAAGATTTCAGAGGAACTTGGCTAACTATTCCCACTAAATACATATTATGTATGCTCACCGCCTTGAGTTATTTATAAAAATAATAAAAGTGGGAATTAAATAAATAAATAAATTTAGCCTTTGAAAAAAAGCACTGCTCAAAATTAGTGCTATGTATTGGGCTTTCAGTCAGAAACCAATGATTGGTTAATTACCATGAAAAAAGGAACCAGTTTCTTCGAAAGTGAAGACGAAGGGAACAATCTGCTCATTTTTCTGGATTCTATGTGTGAAATTTGCTCTTTTTAAAATTTGAAATCTGAGAAACTGAAGTAGCTAAAGGGTCACTGAACAGGTGAATGGGGGAGGAGGAGGTCTGAAATCTAGGCCATTTAATCTAATCAATCTTCTTCTTGTTGTTGTTAATTGCGAAGTCGTGTCCAACCCATCGCGACCACATGGACAATGTTCCTCCAGGTCTTCCTGTCCTCTACCATCTTCTGGAGTCCATTTAAGTTCACGCCTGCTGCTTCAGTGACTCCATCCAGCCACCTCATTCTCTATCGTCCCCTTCTTCTATTGCCCTCAATCTTTCCCAGCATTAGGCCCTTCTCCAGTGAGTCCTTCCTTCTCATTAGGTGGCCAAAGTATTTGAGTTTCAACTTCAGGATCTGGCCTTCTAAAGTGCAGTCAGAGTTGATCTTTTCTAGGACTGACCAGTTTGAACGCCTTGCAGTCCAAGGGACTTGCAGGAGTCTTCTCCAGCACCGTAGTTCAAAGGCCCCAATTCTTTGTCGCTCAGCCTTTCTTATGGTCCAATTTTCACATCCATACATTGCAACTGGGAAAACCATGGCCTTGACTATACGCACTTTTGTTGGCAAGGTGATATCTCTGCTTCTTGGTATGCGTCTAGATTTGCCATAGCTTTCCTCCCCAGGAGCAAGCGTCTTTTAATTTCTTGGCTGCAGTCCCCATCTGAGGTGATCTTGGAGCCCAGGAAAATAAAATTTGTCACTACCTCCATTTCTTCCCCATCTATTTGCCAGGAATTGAGAGGGCCAGATGCCATGATTTTGGTTTTCTTAATGTTGATTTTCAAGTCAACTTTTGCACTCTCCTTCTTCACCTGCATCAAGAGGCTCTTTAGTTCATCTTCACTTTCTGCCGTTAGAGTGGTATCATCTGCATATCTTAGGTTGTTGATATTTCTCCCAGCAATCTTAATTCCAACTTTTGATTCATGTAGCCCTGCCTTTCTCTTTCTGCATATAAGTTAAATAGTCAGGGCGACAGAATACAGCCTTGCCAGACTCCTTTCCCAATTTTGAACCAATCGGTGGTTCCATGTCCAGTTCTCACTGTTGCTTCTTGACCTGCATATAGGTTTCTCAAGAAACAAATATGATGGTCTGGTACTCCCATCTCTTTAAGAACTTGCCACAATTTGTTGTGATCCACACAATCAAAGGCTTTAGCATAGTCAATGAAGCAGAAGTAGATGTTTTTCTGGAACTCCCTAGCTTTCTCCATGATCCAGCGTATGTTGGCAATTTGATCTCTAGTTCCTCTGCCTCTTCGAAATCCTGCCTGTACTTCTGATAGTTCTCTATCCACATACTGCCGGAGTCTAGCTTGTAGGATTTTAATCATAACTTTACTAGCATGTGAAATGAGTGCAATGGTGCGATAGTTTGAACATTCTTTGGCATTGCCTTTCTTTGGAATCGGAATGTAAACTGACCCTTTCCAATCCTGTGGCCACTGTTGAGTTTTCCAAATTTGCTGGCAAATTGAGTGTAGCACTTTTACTGCATCGTTTTTTAAGATATTGAATAGCTCAGCTGGAATACTGTTACCTCCACTAGCTTTGTTGTTGCTCAGATTTCCTAAGGCCCATTTCACTTCACATTGTAGGATGTCTGGCTCAAGGTCAGTGACCACCCCATCATGGTTATCTGGGACGTTAAGCTCATTCTTGTATAGTTCTTCTGTGTAGTTTTCCCACCTCTTGTTAATCTCTTCTGCCTCTGTTAGGTCCCTGCCATTATGGTCCTTTATCATGCCCATCTTTGCATGAAATATTCCCTTCATATCTCCAATTTTCTTGAAGAGATCTCTGGTCCTCCCTATTCTGTTGTTTTCTTCTGTTTCTTTGCACTGTTCATTTAAGAAGGTATTCTTATCTCTTCTAGCTATTTTCTGGAATTCTGCATTTAATTGGGTGTATCTTTCTCTTTCTCCTTTGCCTTTTGCTTTCCTTCTTTCTTCAGCTATTTGCAAAGCTTCCTCAGACAGCCATTTTGCTTTCTTGCATTTCTTTTTCTTTGGGATGGTTTTAGTTGCTACCTCTTGTACAGTGTTGCGAACTTCTGTCCATAGTTCTTCAGGCACTCTGTCTATCAGATCTAATTCCTTAAATCTATTTGTCACCTTTACTGTATATTCATCAGGAATATGATTTAGTTCATACCTGAGTGGCCTAGTGCTTTTCCCTACTTTCTTCAATTTAAGCCTAAATTTTGCAATGAGAAGCTCATGATCTGAGCCATAGTCAGCTCCTGGTCTTGTTTTTACTGACTGTAGAGAGCTTCTCCATCTTTGACTGCAGAGCACATAGTCAATCGGATTTCTGTGTTGACCATCTGGTGATGTCCATGTGTAGAGCCGTCTCTTGGGTTGTTGGAAAAAAGTGTTTGTTATGACCATCGTATTCTCTTGACAAAATTCTATCAGCCTGTGCCCTGCTTCATTTTGTACTCCAAGGCCAAACTTGCCTGTTATTCCGGAATACTTTAGCATTCCAATCCCCTATGATGATAAGGACATCATTTTTTGGTGTTAATTCTATAAGGTGCTGTAGGGCTTCATAGAACCGGTCAATTTCATCCTCTTCAGCATCAGTGGTTGGGGCATAGATTTGGACTACTGTGATATTGAATGGTTTGCCTTGGATTCGAACTGAGATCATTCTGTCATTTTGGGGATTGTATCCCAGTAATGCTTTTCCTATTCTTTTATTGACTATGAAGGCTACTCCATTTCTTCTGAGGGATTATTGCCCGCAGTAGTATACCTGATGGTCATCTGAGTTAAATTCACCCATTCCTGTCCATTTTAGTTCGCTGATTCCTAAGATGTCGATGTTCAGTCTTGTCATCTTTTGTTTGACTGTCAATCTATGATGGTCCATTTCTAGTCTTGCTGGTACAGATTTATAAAAAGGCAATGGTTTTTATAGTCACCCATAGTCACCTATGGCCAATATGATTGCAACATTTAGTATTCAGAAGCAGCAAGTGGATAACTGATATAGAGTGAGTTGAATTGCATCCACTTTCTGGCTAGAGTTTTGTGTTGTTTAAAAAAAACCCTTCAATTTATTTTAAGTTTAAAATGCCATTTTTTTCCTGTGGATTTCTTTCTCCAAACTGCAAAGCTGTCAAAATATAGCACTGCTGACAAGGAGACTGGATCCTACAGAAATTATTTGGAAGTTAGTGTGGGCCGTCTGCAACCTAAAGGAATGCTAAAAATTTAATGCGGAATGAATCACACTCTCTGAAGCTTCCTTTCACTTTTTAAAATAGCATGCACTTTAATTTCCAACTAATCATATAATATCTTTTTGCTGAGTTGCTAAAGCAGTTGTATTTTTATAGAAGCATTACATGGCCAGCTGAAAGGATGCAATTTATCTCCATCAGAAAAGCATATTTTTAATAAATCCAAAATATTATGAATTCATTTTTAGAAAACTGCCAGAATCCTGCAGTAGCAAGGATAATCTCTGTCACCAAGGCAACCACCCCGATTTTTCATGAGATGGCACCACAGTTTATTAAATTATTGTGTGAGAGTATGTATTTAAAACGTATTCCATTGCTCCTTTTTCATTAGCTACAAGGAAATAGAGCAAAAACGGGGAAAAAATCCATAGCTTCTTAAATTGCCAATTTTATAGATGTTTCCTCACTGATGACACGAGGGTACAAAGCACTTATGCTGCAGTTAAGTAATTGTTTTATATCCTGTAAACTAACAGCTGGTTAACATTCCTTTTGGCAAGATATGATTCTCAATACTTTCGGCTGATATATATAGCCCATGTAATGCCAGATGTGGAAAGCGCAGAAGTGACAAATTATGTCCACAGACAGCTCAGAAAAATATTTTCCAGGTTTAAAATGCAAATAAATAAATAAAATTCTAGTGTGCTAGAAATGAATGCACAGCAAAGCTTCCTAATGAAATATATCACACAAAGTCTTTGATCAACTGATTTTACAGCACTGCTACAACTCCTTCAGCAATTATAGTTTT